AAAAAAGGAACCACACAGGGCGTGGCTAAGCCCTGCAACAGCGTCCGATTGGAAGATCGCGTCGTGGGTCGGACCAAAGGTCAGCCTGCTTAAAATGAACACAAGGCTCTCACACTGCTCCCGCTCTCTCTCTCAAGACCCTTTGGCTTTCCGCCTTGGTGAGTGCGACAAAAGCACTCCCACGCCGTAACACCACATCGCGAGACTCCAGAACTCAAACACTTCAGTTGAAGCTTCGTAACTCTGCAGAACGCAAAGTCTTGCAAACTCAGACTTTAAGCAGGACTGCTCAAGCCTCTTCCGTAACCCGGCAACCAACCAATCCCACGAGGGCTTCCCCAAAAGGGACGCCATTCTGACGTCATCCCAGTAACCAATCTCCGAAGGGAATTCCCAGAAACTACATCAGCCAGACGCCCGACCAGCAACCAATGAAAAGCCGGGAAGCCCAGCAACGGGAAAACAACTCCGCTTTTCAGCTGTCATCCAAAGCAAAACGCAAGTAAACAAACAAAGCTCCTATCTGCTGAAATCGGTGTTGAACTGGTGAATTGCGTTAAGCAGTAAACTTAAGACAAACCTCTGCTTTGTGAATTCTCTCAGGTGATTTTAAAACCACTCGTGGAAACGAGTGTTAGAACTTTGAAACTACATGCAACTCTGTTAACTCATTCCTTCAATTTTCTGAGCTGTATATGTGTGTGTATGTGTGTATATGTGTTTTAGCCTAGTTTTAATGTAATCTAGAATAGCCAATAAAATTCATGTTTCATTTATAAAGAATCATTGTTTGGTGTCATATAATGTTAAGGTTAAAACCTTTGCCAAAGATTACGTTACCTCTCTAAGAGCTTACAAATTATTATAATCGTATTGACCAATTGTCAAGGAAAATACAAAGATTCAAATTGTTAAAATATACTAAGAATCACCGGCTCGCTGGACGACCCTTGATTTAAAGTGTAAACTATCAGATTTGAATTCAGCTTTAATCAGGTTGACTCAGAATTTTCCGATCCGAGTCCTTTCAAAACCTGAATGAATTAATAATAATTAATTCCCTAAATTTAAGTAATCAAGTCATTACAGTATGCAGATTTTCTGCATGCACAGAAAGCCAGAATAAGCTTTAAAAAAATGGATAGTTCAAAGTCTGAATTCTGATTGAATGAGGTGCATTTGATTATCTATTTATTTTTATTTATTTACTTCTTATTTTTGCTATTTTATAATCGATGATGTTCAGGAATAAATTATATTCTAAAATATATTACAATAGAAAACCCTTATTTTAAATTGTAACAATATTTCACAATATTACTCTTTTTACTGTATTTCTGATTTTTTTTTAAATGCAGCCTTGCTGAGCATAAGAAACTTTTTTCAATATTTCAATGCTGCTTTATGCCCTACTTTATGTAAAAAAAAAAAAGAAATAGAAAAAAAAGTAAGTATGCATGAACAGATCCGAGCATCATGTAATTGACCCACAAATCATTGCTGTTTCTGCACTAGTGAAGCAAAAATGGCACATTTATTGTCAGCAAATACATAGTGAAAATTTCCTAGCCCTAGGAAAAACTAGTGATGAGGGATTAAGGTGAGGAAGTCAGTCAATCCGACTGACCTGGACCTGTTATTCACATACAACGAATAGGGAAGTGCTGACTCTGAAATGCCCATCTCTGCCAGCAAAACGTGTGGATGGCAGTGTCAAAAACTGCTTACAGATCGGAAAGAATTAGCATGGAGTTATGCGAGCATGTTGCTGCTGACTCGAGCAGTTTACAGCCAGGAGAGCAGATTCAGAAGAGTGACTAGTTTGAAGCTTGACTGATAGGAGGTGAGCAGGTGAGAAAGCTTGACGTCTGACTGATTCCAGCTCGTTCTGGAGCTACTGCCATGAAGGCGAGCATTGAGAGCGGTCAGGGGTTCCTGATGTCAGTCTACGCTGACATCAGGTCTCTAAGTCTACGCTGGAGAAAATGTCATGTTCATGGAAACCACAAAGATGTTTCTACAAAAAGCTTCTCTCAGAAAGGAACAGTACTCACAGGCATACTTGTCCATCTGAATAATTAATATGTGTCAGGGAAATCATGTGAGGGAAAAATATTCTCTTTTAAAACCTCACTGTGTTTGTAGTAATGAATTTTAATACAAAAATAAATTATGCTCATCATAAGAAGGTCTAAGGTCTATTCAGATGGTTGCATGTTTGACCTGAATTTTAATGTATTTTTTGACACAATCATCATGTAACTGACCCACAAATCATTGGAACTCTATATGTCTGAGTTTATTTTAAAAAATCAAATAATAACAGTAATTGAAATAATTATAAAAGATCACGCCAAACTACTTCATATAATTTTCATTCTTAGAATTAATTCAAATAATAAAGATTTTTTTCTTCATTATAATATCAGGACAGCTGTATCACTGTGACATTTTTGACTTTATAACTTTCCTCCCAAAATAGTTTAAAATAATTTTTATACAAAACAAACCAAAAATAAGTAAATAAATAAATAAATCATGCTCATCATTCAAGTGACTGTACAGTGTGTGTGAACTGAATGTTAATGTATTTTTGAACAAATGAACAGATCCGAGCATCATGTAATTGACCCACAAATCATTGCTGTTTCTGCACTAGTGAAGCAAAAATGGCACATTTATTGTCAGCAAATACATAGTGAAAATTTCCTAGCCCTAGGAAAAACTAGTGATGAGGGATTAAGGTGAGGAAGTCAGTCAATCCGACTGACCTGGACCTGTTATTCACATACAACGAATAGGGAAGTGCTGACTCTGAAATGCCCATCTCTGCCAGCAAAACGTGTGGATGGCAGTGTCAAAAACTGCTTACAGATCGGAAAGAATTAGCATGGAGTTATGCGAGCATGTTGCTGCTGACTCGAGCAGTTTACAGCCAGGAGAGCAGATTCAGAAGAGTGACTAGTTTGAAGCTTGACTGATAGGAGGTGAGCAGGTGAGAAAGCTTGACGTCTGACTGATTCCAGCTCGTTCTGGAGCTACTGCCATGAAGGCGAGCATTGAGAGCGGTCAGGGGTTCCTGATGTCAGTCTACGCTGACATCAGGTCTCTAAGTCTACGCTGGAGAAAATGTCATGTTCATGGAAACCACAAAGATGTTTCTACAAAAAGCTTCTCTCAGAAAGGAACAGTACTCACAGGCATACTTGTCCATCTGAATAATTAATATGTGTCAGGGAAATCATGTGAGGGAAAAATATTCTCTTTTAAAACCTCACTGTGTTTGTGCATGTGTATGTCTCACCTCGTCTTTGTCTTCGACCTGTATGTACAGAGGCAGAGCGAAGCCGACCTGCGCCAGCTCTGTGATCAGGACGCGATATTCAGAGCTGTTAAACCTGGGCGGATTGTCATTTTTATCGATCAGCAGGATGGTGAAGGTGGTCATGACGGTGGCAGACGAGGGTGTGCGGTCGTCATTCAGCTCTGTGGCCTGCAGAGAGACAGAAAGACATACAGCGGATTAATCTGATCCCTGCGATCTCAATATATACAGCAGGGTCCAAATGAGAAAGAGTGTTCCATGAGATTTGGAAGGTGAATCTGGAAAAGGAAGAGAATATTTTAGGATTTTAAACAATTTCAAAACAAAGAAAAGTTACAATGTACAATGGGCAAGAACTATTGAAGCTTTTCACAGAATTTGTGACGTTGATCATGTGACTCCTTAATAAAAAAAGTTCCAGATTTCCATTTAAAGGAGTCATATGATGCTGCTAAAAAGAACATTATTTTGTGTATTTGGTGTAATGAAATGTATTTATGCGGTTTAAGGTTCAAAAACACATTGTTTTCCACATACTGTACATTATTGTTTCTCCTCTATGCCCCGCCTTTCTGAAACGCGTCGATTTTTACAAAGCTCATCGGTCTGAAAAGTGAGGTGTGCTCTGATTGGCCAGCGATCCGGTGCATTGTGATTGGCCGAATACCTCAAGCGTGTGACGGAAATGTTACGCCCCTTACCATACTGTGATGCCGTGTCCCGGTGTGACAAGATAAAAACAATAAAACCCATTATAAATTAGGTATTTGTTTGCGTCTCCATGACATGGTGGTGGCGGCAACAACAGCGAGAATAAAAGTTACGCCTTCTTTCTTTGCGTGAGTCATCTGTTGGTAAACAGTATTTTCAGATGCACACCTGTTACTGCACATCGATGCAATTTAAATAGTGGCAAGAAAAAGTATGTGAAACCTTTGCAATTGGTTTGGTTTCTGCATTAATTGGTCATAAACTGTCATCTGATCTTCATCAACGTAGCAAGTATTAACAAACACAATGTGCTTAAGCTAACAACACACAAGCATTTTATGACCAACTAATGTAGAAAACCAACCAATTCTAATGGGTTCACACACTTCTTGCCACTACTGTATACATACACTAATGTTCAACAATTTGGGGTCGATAAGATTATTTTTATTTTTATTTTTGAAAGAAGTCGCATATGCTCATCAGGCCTGCATTTATTTGATAAAAAAATACAGTAAAATCAGTAATCAGTGTTTCAATTTGAATATATTTTCAAATGTAATTTATTCCTGCAATAGCAAAAGTGAATGTTCACCATTACTCCAGTCTTCAGTGTCACATGATCCTTCAGAAATCATTCTAATATGCTGATTTGCTGCTCAAGAAACATTATTATCAATGTTGAAAACCGTTGTGCTGCTTCATATTTATTTGTGGTAACTGATAACCCGAAACCAAACATTTAAATGGTTATTTATGTACCATATTAATAACAGTCATTTCAGATTGTTAAGCCCATGTTATTTTAATGTTTTTAGCAGGATAACTGTGTGATCATGAGAGTATCATACTTGTGGTGTTTTATTGGAATTATTTTAAAAGTTGCTGTAAACTAAAGTCTGTCTGCTCTTCTTTCTATTTCTCCTCTTTTGTTCTTTTTCTTCCTCTCCTTCTTTCTCATGCCCATGCCCATATAGCCCGAAAAGGTGGCAAAGGTGGGTGTGTGTGTGTGTGTGTGAGACAGAGAGAGAGAGAGAGAGAGAGAGAGAGACTATTTCAGGAGCCTAAAGGCCTCTGCTAAACTGAGCTCTCAGAGATGGAGAAACAGGAACAAAGAGTTTCCCTGGTTGATGTCTAGAGGGACATTAAAACACACACACACACACACACACACATACACACCTCCAGTGTTTGGCCCTGGAACTGTCAGCGGGGGACAGAGATAACGATGACATCACACACACACACACACACACACACACACACACACACACAGACCAAGACTACAACAGTAGCAGATTAATATATTTGTGTCATGTATTAGTATTTTCTTGTGAAACATACTCTTAATAATGCTTTATTTATTTATTTATATAACTTATTGAACATAATAACATGATGTAAATATATAATAATAATAATCGAGTCCAGTTCAGTGTAATTTGAAGTGATTTGCATGTTTGTAATAGCTATGCAAAATAATTAAAAATGTATTGAAAGCTCCAGGGTCAGTGAGACCTTTTCACACAGTGATCCTGATATGCTCAATGTGGGTAAATGGCTCGATAAATTACAGTCACACTCTGCAAACATTTACTGTAGAATCAATACTGCATTTGGCAGAGATTCCAATGAGTTCAGCTCAGGGGACGAGAGACTAACCAGAGCTACTACATGAGAATTTCTGGAAACAGAACAAATGTGCTTATATGCGATTTCATTCCTCATTTAAAATCAATCTTGACCTTGAAACATTACAGAAGAGATTTAAATAATGCATTAGTGGATTTGAATCTCACACAGGGTTGAAAGACGTATGATAAAAGGTTTTAAGAGCTTAAGGAACTTCACTATTCTGATTCCAATTCCACAAAACGATTCCAGTTTCTCAACAAATCTATGAACAGCTCTTTTGGTACTATTGAGGAAGCACTCAAAAGAATCTGTCCAAATGATATATCAAAGAAAAACGTCTCGGTTACTTGTGTAACCCTCGTTCCCTGAAGGAGGGAACGGAGATGTTACGTCAGTTGTGACTGATGAATTGGGATCTCGCCCGAGAGCCCAATCACCTTCGAGTGTAAACTAAACAAGCCAATGACAGTTCTTCGCACATCAGTTTTTCGCTGAGGAGCCGAGACTACACACCCCGGCCGTACAGCGGTGGTACAGCAACTGTGGTGACGGAACGTAACGTCTCCGTTCCCTCCTTCAGGGAACGAGGGTTACACAAGTAACTGAGACGTTCCCTTTCAGTCAGTCACGTTCTACATTACGTCAGTCGTGACTGACGAATTGGGATCCGTATGGAAAACGCCACTATTGCTGACCCCCTCCAGTGCCCTGCGGAAGCCGGCAAGTCCCCCCACACCAGTTGGGGTGGAAGATAGGACAGCGGCTAGGCAGAGGTGTCCGCCACTGCTGTTCCATACAGTGGTACTTTGGATAACACTGGGAAAGAGTACCCAGTTGGGAACGCTACGGAAGCCACATCCTGCGCATAGGAGGTATCATGTGGAATACACATATGGACTGGCCCAGGGCAGTGCTGCATATGGAAGTCCCTGCGGTAGACTCAACCCGCCTGGGGCGAGACGACTACACAACAGAGATGGCAGAGAACGACTGCCAGGGAAAGACACAGGCTTACAGTG